CAGCACCAGCTCACAGGGCCCCACCTCTACAGAGGCGCCCAGTAAGCCCATCACAGTGACTGTGGAGGAGCAGCGGAGCCAGAGCGTGAGCCCCGGGGCGGATGTCACCTTCATCTGCACGGCCAAGAGCAAGGTGGGCAGGGCAGCGCAGGGCCCAGGGAGGCTGGCTTCTGGGCTCTCGGAGCCCATCCCTAACCCCGCCCAGCCCGCCCCTTGCCCCACAGTCTCCAGCCTACACGCTGGTGTGGACCCGCCTGCACAATGGGAAGCTGCCGCCCCGCGCCATGGACTTCAATGGCATCCTGACCATCCGCAACGTGCAGCCAAGTGACGCGGGCACCTACACGTGCACCGGCTCCAACATGTTTGCCATGGACCAGGGCACGGCCACGCTGCATGTGCAAGGTGCACACCCTCCCCCAGCCCATTCTGGGCCACCCAGGGCCCATCAACTCACGCCCTGGCGGTGGCTGAGTATCCCAGTGGGTCAGCCCCCGGTCAAGGCACCAGAGAAATGGGCAGGAACAACAGACAGGCTCTGGAGCCTTCGAGCTGGGGAGACAGGGACCTGCGGGAAGTGACACATAACGATACGTGCTAGAGTGGACATAGCCGGTATTAAAAAGGAAGTCAGGTGTGAGAAGTCTGAGCTACTCTGGATGGTGTGGCCAGGGAGGACCTCTCTGAGGAGGTGACTGCTGAGCTGAGACCTGAGGGAACCCAAGGGGCCCAGCTGTGGGAGGACAGGCGGAGGGAACAGCACATGCAAAGGTCCTGAGTCAGGAGCATATTGGAGTGTTTGAGGGACATCAAGGGCAGGGGGGCTAGAGCTGAGCGAGGGAGGGCCGTGAGGGACCTGGAGCTGTGGACAGAGGCCAGTGCGTGCAGGATTTGGTGGTCTGCAGTGAGAGATAGGGTTTTATTCTGAAAGCAGGTCTTCGGAAAAGGAGTGACAGGATCCCTGTCCTGTTTGAAAAGCTCTTCCCCCAGCTGCTGTGTGGACAGACAGCTGAGGGAGCAGAGGGTCGGCCAGTACCGTGCATCAGACAGCACCCCACCCTAACCACAGGACTCTCCCCCCTCCTGCCAGCCTCAGGTGCCCCGTCTGCCCCGGTGGTCTCCATCCACCCTCCCCAGCTCACCGTGCAGCCCGGGCAGCTAGCTGAGTTCCGCTGCAGCGCCACGGGCAACCCTACCCCCACCCTGGAGTGGACAGGTGAGGCCTTGGGAATGCGGCTCTCAGCCCTGACTCAGCTGGACGGGGGAGAGCGGTGAGGTCTGCCACCCCTGGGGCTGACCCCTCTTCTCCACCTCAGGGGGCCCTGGCGGCCAGCTCCCTCAGAAGGCACAGGTTCACAAGGGTATCCTGAGCCTCCCAGCTGTGGACCCCTCAGATCAGGCCCAGTACCTGTGCCGCGCCCACAGCAGCGCCGGGCACCACACAGCCAGGGCCATACTACATGTGCACGGTGAGGGGTCTGCCAGGGGCCACTGGGAACCAGGGGGTAGCCCAGAGGTGGTTCTCACAGGGCTGTGTCTGCAGGGGGCAGCGGACCCAGGGTCCAGGTGAGCCCAGAGAGGACCCAGGTACACGAAGGCCGCACCGTCAGGCTGTACTGCAGGGCTGCAGGGGTGCCCAGTGCCACCATCACCTGGAGGAAGGAAGGGGGCAGCCTCCCCCCACAGGTGAGGGCATCTGCCTGCCAGCGTCCTGACACTTACCACCACCCCTCGCACCTCCACTGCCTACCCCACCTCCTCTGCCAGAGGGTAGCCAGCTCAGACGGGTCTTAGTTTTGCTGCCTGCCCAGTCCACCCCGCTGCTCTGGTGGGGGGGGCGGGGGGCTCGCTGCTGTCGGGCGTGCTCCAGTTCATGCTTGCCTCCAGACAAGGACGAGAGGTTGGCTGCTCTGCACGTCTTCAGGGCCATGCCTCTCCAGCCCCTGGCCTCCCATCCCAGCAGACGACGTTCTTGTGCAAGCCTTAGCAGGGCTTCCCCGGGCTTGTTTTCAGAGTAGATCTCCAGGCTTTTCTTCCTAGTCTGTCTGAGTCGGGAAGTCACCGAAATGTGTTGCTCACGAGGGCACCCCTGCTGGTATTGGAAATACCGACGGCCTCGCTCCCAGCATCACAGCAGGGTGATGACGCGTGGCCCACGTCCTGTCCTTGGCCCTGGGCCTGCCGCCGCCCTCCCGAGTCAGCCGCGCTCACCGGGCAGCTCGGGCCCCGTGGTGGCTGACTGCTCCCGTTGGCAGGCCCGCTCGGAGCGCACAGACATCGCCACGCTGCTCATCCCTGCCATCACGGCGGCCGACGCCGGCTTCTACCTCTGCGTGGCCACCAGCCCTGCAGGCAGCGCACAGGCCCGCATCCAGGTGGTCGTCCTGCCAGGTGAAGGGCTGCCGAGGTGGGGGAGCGAGGCAGACCAGCCGGGCTCCCCTCAGAACCACTAACCTCAGCCTGGCCCCCAGCCTCAGGTTCCAGCCCACCGCCAGTCAAGATCGAGTCCTCCTCCCCTTCTGTGACTGAGGGGCAGATGCTTGACCTCAACTGTGTGGTGGCCGGGCAGACCCACGCCCAGGTCACGTGGTACAGGCGCGGGGGCAGCCTCCCTCCACACGCCCAGGTATGAGAGTTCTTGGGCAGGTGGGGGCGGGGGTGGGGGGGTATGGTGCTTGGTGGCACACAGGTGAGCTTCACCCTACCTGGAGCGGAGAGCACTCGCTGAGGGAGGGGGTCCCATGAGTATGTGATGGAGGCGGCTCAGAAAGAGTGGTGCCTGCAGCCCCTTCCTGGCCTTACTCCTTGTCCCCCACCTGGCCCAGGTCCATGGCTCCCGACTGCGGCTCCCCCAGGTCTCCCCAGCCGACTCAGGAGAGTATGTCTGCCGAGTGGAGGATGACTCCAGTCACAAGGAAGCCTCCATCACCGTCTCTGTCCTTCACAGCGCCCAGCCGGGCTCCAGGCACACCCCAGGTGAGGAGCCAGGCCAGGCAGGAGAACCCGCCCACTGTTCCAGGGATGAGGTCGTGAGCACAGGACACCTGGCAGGCTCTGGGCCGCCACTCCCTGCTGGGAGCAGGGGAAGGAAGGACTGGGCATGTGGATTAGGGCCTGCTGACTTGGGGCCCAAGATACGGGAGCTGCCTTCAAAATGTGTCTGGAGGCAGCAGGGTAGGCTTGAACACTGAGTCGGGAGTCAGGCTGACCTGGTTCAACTCCTGGCCCTGCCCCTTGCCAGCCTTGAACAAGTTAGCCAGCCTTCCTGGGCCCCAGTTCCTCATCAGTAATGGGAATGACACCACGCCTCTGCTAGGAGATGGTGCAGTTAGATGAGACGGTGTCAGTGTCAGGGCCTACAGATCACAAGTAAGATACATCGTTGTTGTCTCTAGCCTTGGACCCTGCCTGGGCACTAAATACCCCTGGTTCCCTGCTGGCCAGCCCAGACCAAGAACACTGTCCAAGAAGGGCTGTGTGGCTCAGGGCCTTCACGTGGCAGCCCATACTGAGGCCAGAGAGCCCAGCCCAGCCTCCACTGAGCTCGGAGCTGCCTCCCATGTGGGAGCCATATGCCAGGGCCTCACCCAGGGCTACAGGGATGCGCTTAGGAGCCCAGACCTCTGAGCCTGCCCCTCTGTGTCCAGCTCCTGGCGGAGACCCAGCTCCCGGCCGGACCCAGTCCATCCGTATTGAGTCTTCCTCTTCACACGTGGCTGAAGGGCAGACACTGGATTTGAACTGTGTGGTTCCCGGGCAGGCCCACGCCCAGGTCACCTGGCATAAGCGAGGGGGCAGCCTCCCTGCCCGGCACCAGGTACAGCAGCCCCCGGGTCAGCTTGCTGGAGGGTTTGGATTGGGCCCGTCTGTCCACATTTGAACCCACCTCCCTGCACACAGGCACATGGCTCGCTGCTGCGGCTGCACCACGTGTCCCCCGCCGACTCAGGCGAGTACGTGTGCCGTGTGATCCTTGGCTCTGGGCCCCTGGAGACCTCCGTCCTGGTCACCATCGAGGCCATCGGCCCCAGCTCTGGCTCTATCCCTGGTGAGTGAATGGCAGGGGCTAGAGAGAGCCTTCCAGGGTGGCGGGGCCAAGTAACTCCTGAGGGCAGGAGGCCAGAGCCCAACACTGAGTAGGGCTGATCTGGGTTCAGATCCTGGCTCTCTCTGCCTCTTAGTAGCTTTGAGCAGCTTACTTGGCCTTCCACCTCTGCCTGCCCACTCTTTTCTTCAACCACATTCTTCCTGGTTTTTACCGCTCCCTCTCTCTTAGCCTCACCTACCCACAACTCTGGCTTCCTTACTCCACTCCACCCTGGCCCTGCCCTCGGGGTCAAGCATCTACTGCCCTCCCCTCTGTGCCCGCAGCCCCAGGACCTGTCCCAGCTGTCAGAGTCGAGTCCTCATCCCCCATGGTGGCCGAGGGGCAGACCCTGGATCTGAGCTGTGTGGTCACCGGGCAGGCCCACGCCCCAGTCATGTGGTTCAAGCGTGGGGGTAGCCTTCCTGCCCGACACCAGGTACAGGGCACCAGTCAGGGTCGGATGAGAGTCATGGGTTGTGAGGTCCCCTTGGCCCTGGAGCTGAGGTGGAGCCTCTGCTGGGCTCTGGCAGCCCCGCTCAGAGTCCTGCCCACGCTCCCCAGGTCCGCGGCTCCCGCCTGTACATCTTCCAGGCCTCTGCAGCGGACTCGGGCGAGTATGTTTGCCGAGCCAGCAGTGGAGTGGAGGCTTCCATCACGGTGACCGTAACAAGCAACCAGGGTGCCAACTTTGCCTACCGTGAGTGGGGCACTCGGGGTGAGCCTGAAGGGAAACCGGGTATAGGGGAGCAGCGTTGAAGAACTGGAGTGACCCTGACTGTCTCAATCCCCCCAGCCACTGGGGACTCCCAGCCCATCCGCATCGAGTCCTCCTCGTCACACGTGGCTGAGGGCCAGACCCTGGAGCTGAACTGCGTGGTGCCCAGGCAGCCCCATGTCCAGGTCACGTGGCACAAGCGTGGGGGTAGCCTGCCCATCCGGCACCAGGTATGGGATTGGAGAAGGAGGTCCCTGGTGTTGGAGGTCTGTGGTGACGGGGCTGGAGGCTCCTCTGAGCCCCAGGGCAGAAGCTCATGGGTAGTGGTTAGAGGGCCTGCTGGGCTTGGTAGGAACTCTGGAGCCACCCTGGGCAACTGCATGATCTGGGGCAAGCACCCTAACCCATCAGTCAAGTGGAATAATGCCATCCACCTCAGAGAGTTATTCTCCAGATTATGTAAATTAACGCAAAGTGTATGCGCAATTATGATCCCTGTTAAAAACTCTCACTCTCTGCCATTGAGCCAATGCTGACCCATTGCAACCCTAGAGGACAGGGTAGAACTGCCCCTGTGGGTTTCCCGAGACTGTAGCTGTTTACAGGAGTAGAAAGCCTCAGCTTTCTCTCACAGAGCGGCTGGTTGTTTCGAACTGCTAACCACCAGGACTCCTATTATCGCCATAGTGCGTAGAACGTAGGACCACCCTGGATGCAATGTGCACCATCTTTCTGTGCCCTGGTACGAAAACAAACGCGGCATTTATCACTGAAAGAGGGTTAATCACTAGCTGCAGCTCAGCTTCAGTGTCTTGGAATTGACTTGCGTGTCAGCCCGTTGGCCCAGTTCCCTGTCGTGCCTCCCGTCCTCCCACCCAAGCTGGGCAGGGGAACGGATCTGGAGCTGATGGCCAGGCCTGGGGTCCAGGTGACAGTACAAGAGTCCTATGCGGGCTTTCTCTGACCTTGTCCCCCATCCAGACGCACGGCTCACGACTGAGGCTGTACCAGGTGTCCCCAGCCGACTCGGGCGAGTACACGTGCCGCGTGGTGGGCGGCTCTGGGCCCCTGGAAGCCTCCATCTTCGTCACCATAGAGTCCGCGGGCAGTGTGCCTGGTGAGTGGCACAGTGGCAGGGAGGGAGGGCCGGGACGCAGCCCAGGACCCCCAATCCAGCCTTGGCAGGATCCAGAGGGCAAACCCCAAAGCTACCCCCAACAAGACTAGGAGCCCTGACCCCACTCCTACCCATCTCTTACCCGCCACCCCCTCCATGCAGGGTCTGACCCTCTGTCCTTCGTCCCCAGCACTCAGTGTCACCCCCCCAGTCCGCATCGAGTCATCTTCGTCCCATGTGGCTGAGGGACAGACGCTGGAACTGAACTGCCTCGTTGCTGCACAGGCCCACGCCCAGGTCACGTGGCACAAGCGTGGGGGCAGCCTCCCTGCGGGGCACCAGGTAGGAGGCGGGAGCCAGGGCGGATCTTGAAGAACCCTCGTAGCTGCAGAGCAGAGGGCACACACATGTTCGAGCACAGTGCTGCACTGCCACTTGTGTGCTATGTGCCCTCAGGCCAGTCACCTGACTTCCCCAATCCTCAATGGCCTCCTCTGTCCCATGAGCCCACACTGCCTGCCATACCTGTCCCCATAGCCTGCCAGCAGATGCTGGGCTCCGACTTCCTTTACCTGGTGCTAAATCATAGTGTTCCCTGGCATGGCTAAGGGAGGCAGGCTAGGCACATTTCTGAGGTCCCACTGCCCACTTGACCATGGGGTGGAAGAACAGAAGGCGTTTCTCCTTGGAAAATGCTTCTAGTAGTTTTCAGCTGACTGGGAAGGGCCGAGAAAGACCAGGAGCCTCGGCCCCATGGCTAAGCCTACCCCCCTCCTGCCTGCCAGGTCCTTGGCTCAAGGCTGCGGCTGCCCCAGGTGACCCCGGCTGACTCTGGGGAGTATGTGTGCCGCGTGGCTGGCAGCTCAGGCACCCAGGAGGCTTCAGTGCTTGTCAGCATCCAACAGCGCCCTGGCCCCTCCCACTGTGAGTGTCCCAGGGTCAAAGCAAGTGGCGGGGGTGGGAGTGGGGGTGCCGGTAAGGGGTGTAGCTCCTCCTCAGCAGGGGGCTGGGGGATAAGGGGCGGAACTCCACTTCAGCAGCTCCCAAACCCTGCGTCCACCCCATCTCACCCTCCCAGCCCAGGGCGTGGTGTACCCCGTCCGAATCGAGTCCTCCTCAGCCTCCCTGGCCAATGGACACACCCTAGATCTCAACTGCCTGGTGGCCAGCCAGGCCCCCCACACCATCACCTGGTACAAGCGTGGAGGTAGCCTGCCCAGCCGGCACCAGGTATAGTGCCAGCACCCAGACTCTCCCTCCACCATTCAGCAAGCACTGTGCAGCCTGGCTGGTGGGCACTGGGCTGCGTCCCCATCCACTCACCCCTGCTCTCTCCCAGATTGTGGGCTCCCGGCTCCGGATTCCCCAGGTGACGCCGGCGGACTCGGGCGAGTATGTGTGCCATGTGAGTAACAGTGCCGGCTCCCAGGAGACCTCACTCATTGTCACCATCCAGGGCAGTGGCTCCTCCCATGGTGAGCATGAAGGGCAGTGAGAGGCTGGGGGCATCCTGGTGCCCTTCCTGTTGTCTGACCTGTTCCCTTGGTCCCCAGTGCCCAGCGTGTCCCCACCGATCAGGATTGAGTCCTCGTCCCCCATGGTGGTGGAAGGGCAGACCTTGGATCTGAACTGCGTGGTCGCTGGGCAACCCCAGGCCACCATCACGTGGTACAAGCGTGGGGGCAGCCTTCCCGCCCGGCACCAGGTAAAGATGGGAGCTGAGCAACAGGGAACCCCATGGACTGAGAAGCTGAGGCATTAGCTGGGAGCCCTGGGACCACCCTTCTCCTTCCCCGGGTTGGACGAGAGCACCTGGGAGGTAATCCTGCAGCCCCCGCCCTCACCTCCTCCACTTCCTACCAGGCCCATGGCTCCCGCCTGCGGCTGCACCACATCTCTGTGGCTGACTCGGGCGAGTATGTGTGCCGAGCCAACAACAACATCGATGCCCAGGAGGCCTCCTTCACGGTCCTGGTCTCCCCCAGCACCGGCATCCCTGCCAGTGAGTATGACGAGGGCCCCTGAACAAAGCCGGGGTGGCGGGGGGAGGCTGTGGTCAGAATCCTCAGACCCAGTGTGGTCCAGGCAGGAACTTTACAGAAAGATGTAGAACCAAATCCTTGTAGGGACCAAGAATTCCGGCCACACAGAGCTTCACTCTCCAGTACTGTGGCCACGAGGCAACTCACATCCAAATGATGTTAAACAGGACAGTGAGCTCCTCCCACTTCAGGCGCGCGAGCCCCATGTGGCTCGATGCCACCGCAGGGCATTCCTGTGGAAGCAGACAGCGGCAACAGGGGTTCCCTGAGGGTTGGATGAGTTCACAAGGAGCCCTGTTGACACAGCAGTGAAGCCCCCAGTTAGCTTGACTGTGAACCAAGAGGTTAGTGGTTCAAACCCACTGAGAAAGTTTCTCGAGGGAAAGGCCTAGTGATTGGCTGCCTTAAAGATGAGTCTACAAAACCTTCTGGGGGCAGTTCTGCTCTGTCATGTGCAGTTACTGTGAATTGGCATCAACACCACGACCAAGTGAATTATCACACATGAAGTGGCTCATCCAGTGCCTGGCGCCCTGCAAGTGCAAGTGCGCAATCAGCTGAGTGTTGTTCAGGGAAAGAAGCCCTGGTAGCATAGTGGTTAAGATTTGGGCTGGTAACCACAAGGTCAGCAGTTCAAAACCACCAACCTCTCTGCAGAAGAAAGGCCTCTCTGCTCCCGTGAAGAGCTTCAGCCTCAGAAAGCCATAGGGGCAGTTCTACCCTGGCTTTTTGGGTTGGTCTGAGTCTGAATTGACTCGATGGCAGTGAGTTTGGATTTTGAGCTTTTATTGTTCTGGGAAAGGAGCCCTAGTGGCACTGCCAGGGAAGCGTTGGAATGCGGTTAGCAAGTTCAAACCCACCAGCCGCTCTGCAGGAGAAAGCTGAGGCTATTGGTTGCCATCAAGCTTTATGGCCTTGGAAACCAAAGGGGCACGTGCACTTTGTTCTATAAGGTTGTTGTAAGTCGGGATCAACTTGACAGTAATGGGTTGGGTTTGGATTACTACAAATAGTTAACATACTCGGCTGCTAACCAAAAGGTTGGAGGTTCGAGTCTTCCCAGAGGCATCTCGGAAAAAGGGTGGACTAGAGAAACAAATTCATGGACACTCATGTGTATAAGAAAGAGCTTTATATATAAGAACAATAGAAAAAGCATCCCAGCCCAGTCCAGATCAAGTCCATAAGTCCATTATTAGCCCATATGCCTGATACCAATCTATAAATTCCTCTTCAGACTCACGCAGCACATGCAATGATGTCGAATGTGGGAAAATCATAGGCCAGTGGGTGGAAAGTCTTGTGGATCCAGTGGCAGTGGAAGCATCTCAGTGCTGACAGGGGTCTGCACGCGGTCCTCCAGCTCCCAGGGCTCTAGCATAGCTACATGTGTCTCGTCAGAAGAAACGTCTCATAGGGAGTGAGTCTGTGCCTTGCCTTCAGTGAGCTATTTATCTCCTTAGCGCTTCCAAATGGGGTCATCAAGCTGCGACCTGGTTGACAGGCTATACCCACCCCTCCACTCTTAAGTCTCAAATTGACAACAGATTATGTAACTACCACAGGCCTGGTCACTGACTTCCAAAACACCCCGTCTTTGAAAAACCTCAGAACTCATGGAGTCAATGCAGACTCAGAGCAATCCCCTGTGGGTTTCCAAGACTGTAACTTGATGAGAGTAGAAAGCCCAGTCTTTCTCCCAAGGAGCTGCTGGTGGGGTTTTGAACTGCCGACCATGCTGATCACAGCCCACTGAGTAACCACTACACCACCAGGTCTCCTCTATGTCAAGTCTCATGGAATCCAGGCTTTCTGGAGCCGTGGAGGCTAAATGTTGCCCTGAGATCATCTCTAAGCCTGAAATCACAAATGGCCCTGAGGTCTCCTTCAAATCAACCAACCATGTAGCCCTCAGTGAAGGAGGTCGGCCTTGAGCACTGTGCTCTTTGAAGATCCCCATGGAGGGGATCAGAGCAGCCCTGGTGGCACTCGTTGGGCTGCTAAGCACAAGGTCAGCAGGGCAAGAGGACCAGCCGCTCCTCCGGAGAGAGAAGAGACTTTCTACTCTCATAAAGACTTACAGCCCCTCTGACCCACAGGGGCAGTTCCATCCTATCCTATAGCATCCCTGTGAGTCAGAATCGACTCAGAGGCAATGAGTTTGACTTTGGGGTTTGGTAGACGATCAGACTGACAGCAGTAATCGAAGATGTTAGAAAGGAAACAGGAGGAGTGAGTTTACATCTAGGAGAGAGGAGCATTCCAGAAAAAGGGGCGAGGAAGGTTGCAGAGCTTGGAGAATGTAAGGAGTATCACTCAGGTGTACCAGTATTGGCTGGGAATTGTCACGTGTCTTCTCAACCACAGCAACCATCAAAGACGTGAATAAGAAAACCCCAGTCCTGAATAAGAGACACACCCTTCTATTCAGACACATAGGGGGTTGCCAGGCATTAGAATTGATTGGACTGCCTCGGGCCTGGGACCCAGGGACTTGGGACCTCTAAGGCCGGGAATCCTGCCACCCCAATTGTCCCCTGTCAGACTGTGTCCAAAGCCCTGAGCTGCTGCATTTGTGCCCGCAGGCCCTGGTGGTGCTCAGCCCATCAGAATTGAGTCATCATCTTCACGAGTGGCTGAGGGGCAGACACTGGATCTCAACTGTGTGGTCCCTGGACAGGCCCACGCCCAGATCACATGGCACAAGCGTGGAGGTAGCCTGCCTGATAAGCATCAGGTACATGGGGCAGGGAAGAGTGGGAGACCTGCTGGATTGTGGGGACTCTGGCTTCAGGTCTTGTCCAGGAAGCAGGCCAGGCAGCTCCTTGGGGCTCAGTGTCCTCTGGGTCATAGGTTAGACCTGGCTCCAGCCCTCGAGAATTCCAGATGGGATTTTTACTCCAATACTCTGACCTCCATCCTGTCCTTGCTCAGATCCACGGCTCATGGCTGAGACTGTACCAGGTAACCCTGGCCGACTCCGGCGAGTACATGTGCCGTGTGGTGGGCAGCTCCGGACCACTGGAGGCCTCCGTCCTGGTCACGATAGAAGCTACCAGCTCTAGTGCTGTCCACGTTCCTGGTGAGGGTCCCTGTAGTGGGGCCGGGGCCTGTGAGGCTGGTGGGAGGGAGGCCAGAGGCAGAGGGGAGGGGAAGGCCGTCCATTGGCACCTGGTGGCACCTGCATCTCTGCCTCCAGCCCACCCCTGTGGTCAACTGGCCAGCCTGGTCAGCTCAGCTGGGGAGAGCCAGGACCAAGCTGCCTGGCTGGGTAGTGATGTGGGTTATATGTTGGTGTGCTAATTTCAAAGTCAGTGGTTCAAACCCACCGGCTACTCCAAGGCATAAAAATGAGGCTTTGCCTCCTGTAAAGAGTTCATCTCAGAAACCCACAGGGGCAGTTCTCCTCTGTCCTATAGGGTCGTCGTCGTGAGCTAGAGTCTACCCGGTGGCAGTGGGTTTGGTTTGGAAGCACGTGCTAGGTGCTGGACACTGGCGTGTGCACATGAGGGCACTTTGAAAAGTTCTGTGTTTTACGGTTTGAAAAAATGAGACACAGAGAGCTGACCTGGCTTTCCAAAGACCACACCGCTCCTAAACGGCAGAGCTGGCCATGAGCCGACCTGGTCTGGTCCCCAATGTCGAGCGTGGGAAACATCAGCGGGCGTATGGAGCTGTCTGGCTTGGGGACCAGCTTGTTGGGAGATGAGGAGATGATGGGGTCACCGCCCCCATTCCCCACGCTAGCCCGCTGGCTCCAGGCCTCAGTGGAGATGGGAAGAGAAAGTGGAGAAGCGGGCCTGTCCTGCCAGCTCCCTGACTTCTCCCTGTGCCATAGCCCCTGACGGAGCTCCCCAACCCATCCGCATCGAGACCTCCTCCTCCCGCGTGGCTGAGGGCCAGACGCTGGATCTGAACTGCGTGGTGCCCGGGCAGCCTCATGCCCAAGTCACATGGCACAAGCATGGTGGAAGCCTGCCCCCCCGGCACCAGGTACAGAGTAGAAGGTGGCAGGGTTTGGGCAGCATTGGGACAGGAGTTGGGAGATCTCAAGCGGGGTGGATACCGCAGGACTTCTGCTGGGCCCACAGCACCATGGTGCAGACCAGCCAAGGCCACATTCCTATCTGGACATCCAACTTCCTCCTGCAGAAACTGCCTGCAGTGGCTTACATTCTCTGATGCCCGTCAGGCCCCAGGGGGTGGCTCGGGAAGATGGGGCCTGCCTGAGTCATGACGACCCTGGGCCATGGCACAGAGAGCATGGCATCCGAAGGCCTTGGCCAGCTTCCTGCCTCACCCCTCTCCCTGTCACCCGTCTCATCAGGTCCACGGCCCTCTGCTGAGACTGAACCAGGTGTCCCCAGTGGATTCTGGCGAGTACTCATGCCAAGTGACCAGCAGCTCCGGAACCCTAGAGGCCTCTGTCCGGGTCACCATTGAGCCCTCCGGGCCAGGCCCCATTCCCGGTGAGTGACAGGAGCAGTGGGCCATGCTGGGCCAGGCCAGGGGTCTCTTCTGGCCCTGCAGTCCACCCCCTCCCAGAACAGTGCCTAAGCCTCAGGGCTGAGGACCCGCTGTAGGCCAGGAAAGCACAGCAAGAGCCACCACTCTCAAGGCACCGCACCTCTAGGGGCCCTGCTGATGCCCACCTGGGAACCTTGTGTCCCTCACCCACCCTGTGTCCACAGCCCCAGGACTGGCCAAGGCTATGTACATCGAGTCCTCCTCCTCACACGTGGCCGAGGGCCAGACACTGGAGCTGAGCTGCGTGGTGCCCGGGCAACCCCACGCCCAGGTCACATGGCACAAGCGCAGGGGCAGCCTGCCCACCCAGCACCAGGTAAGGGGCAAGGATGGGGCGGGCTTCGGGGCAGATGGGGATGACCCGCAGGTGCGTCCCACAGCCCAGTCCTGTGCAGCCCCACGGTTTGAGGACCACGATGCTTTGGAGAGGTGAGTTCCTGGTCCTCTGTTTCCCCTTCTGTAAAATGGGTGGGTTGGATTTCCAGGGGGTCTGTGAATAGCGCTTCCTCTGCCCTCATCAGTCAGAGCGTGAGCTCCTGAGCCTGTGGCAGGACTTGGGGGACAGGCACAGCCAAGCTAGGCACTTGCCCTGTCCCAGGACCGGATCTGATGGCTGCCACTTGCCCCTCCAACAGATCCATGGCTCCCGGCTGCGGATCCACCACGTCTCCCCCGCCGACTCTGGCGAGTACGTGTGCCGCCTGGACAGCGGCTTGGCCTCTGAGCAGGAGGCTGCCTTCACCATCACCGTCCCCCCCAGCGCAGGGTCCTCCTACCGTGAGTGTGGCGCCAGCATGTCGGGCAGGCGGAGAGGACTCTGGGGTTCAGGCAGGGCCTCCATGGAGCAAGGCCACCCTGCCCTTGCTGAGCCCTGCCCTCGGGCCCCTCATCCCCAGGCCTCCAGAGCCCTGTCATCTCCATCGACCCGCCCAGCAACACTGTGCAGCAGGGCCAGGATGCCAGCTTCAAGTGCCTCGTCCATGACGGGGCAGCCCCCATCACCCTGGAGTGGAAAACCCGGAACCAGGAGCTGGAGGGTACATGGGGCTGGGGAGGGGCTGGATGTAGGGGTGAGGGGGTAGTGTGGGCAGGGGCTGGAGGCTGAGGTGGCACCAGTCTCATTGGGAGACCCAAGGCTAGGCCTTCCACTCTCTGGGTGTCAGGGCTCCCATCTCTGTGGTGAAGGGCTGGCCCCAGGAGTCACCAACGACTCTCATCTGCAGCCATCTATAACTCTCTGCTGGTCACAACCAGGCCACAGGGGCTGGGGGTGTGGGCAAGAGGCATCTCAGCTGGCAGTGCCCAGGCATTAGAAGGGGAGAGCAACAGCTGAGGGCAGGCCCACCCTCACTCTCCATATGCCCCTTCCCTCTGCCAACCCCGCAGACAACGTCCATGTCAGCCCCAACGGCTCCATCGTCACCATCAGGGGGACCCGGCCCAGCAACCAGGGGCCCTACCGCTGCGTGGCCTCCAATGTCTACGGTGTGGCACAGAGTGTCGTCAACCTCAGCGTGCATGGTGAGGGGCGTGCCCCTCTCCCCGGGGACCCCAGCCCTCCAGGTTTCAATCCTCGCCTCTCACCCCATCCCGGACGCCCAGCTCCACTTCGGGGCGGTGGTTGACTGGTACCCACCCAGTGGTCGGTCACAGGGACGGGCCTGTGACTGCGTGTGTGCCTCGTGGCTCTTGTGTCTCTGAGCAGGACCCCCGTCCGTGTCCGTGCTCCCCGAGGGCCCCGTGCGGGTGAAAGCTGGGAAGTCTGTCACGCTGGAGTGCGTCAGTACTGGGGAGCCGCGCGCCTCAGCCCGCTGGGCCCGCGTCGAGAGCCCCCACAAGCTGGAGCAGCAGATCTATGGGCTGGTGGACGGCCACACGGTGCTGCAGGTGGGGCCTGGCTCCCCACTGACCAGGAGCGGGGCGCTTCCTCCCTGGGTCTGAGGACAGAGAGGTGACGAGTGAGGGGAGGGAAAGAGGAAGAGATGTGTCCGTGGGGGGGTGGGGGGGGTGGATCGGAGGATGGAGATCAAAAGGAAGGGAAATAGAAAAAGAGATTGGTGGAGGCTTGGGTGGGTGAGCACATGGATGAGTGGGTGGGTGAGTAGCGAGTTGTAGTTGTGTCCTTGGTGGGGGCGGGGGGTGGAGTGTATGTGGATAAGTGAGCAAGCACATAGGTGGGTAGATGGGTACATGGGTGGGTGGGTGAATGACAAGGAGATGACGGATGGCTTTGATGGATGTCATGAACAAGCAGGACAAGCAGCTGGTCAACTCGGAGGACCAAGGCCCCAGAGCAAGGTCAACGGAAGAAATGAAATGACCACACTGATGCCCATATCTGCCCCCGCCCCTATCCCGTACTCACCTAGCCCACCTCTCGCTCCCCAGATTTCTTCAGCCAAACCAGCCGACGCGGGCATCTACATGTGCATAGCTCAGAATGCTCTGGGCACAGCCCAGAAGCAGGTGGAGGTGATCGTGGACATGGGCTCCACAGTCCCAGGGGCCCCCCAGGTCCAGGTGGAAGAAGTCGAGCTGACCGTGGAGGCAGGACACACGGCTACTCTGCGCTGCTCCGCCACAGGTGTGGCTGGGGACTGACACGGGACAGGAGCGGGCAGAGCCGTGGTGCCGAGGGAGTCACTGCAAGCACCTCCCTGTGGTGGTAGGAGGGGCTTATGGCACACACCTAGAAGGGCGGCATCCTTGTGCCACCACCCCCTTCCACGGCCTCTGGGGCTGCGCAGCGACCTCTGTCATCTTCCACCACACAGGCAGCCCTCCCCCCACCATCCACTGGTCCAAGCTGCGGGCCCCACTGCCCTGGCAACACCGGCTGGAAGGTGACACCCTGATCATCCCCCGGGTGGCCCAGCAGGACTCAGGCCAGTACATCTGCAATGCCACCAGCTCAGCTGGGCACTCGGAAGCCACCATCGCACTGCACGTGGACAGTAAGGCGTTTTTCCCCCTCCCCAGGTTGAGGCCTGAATATATATATATATTCATCAGCTCCTTGTCCTTCATCAGTCTCCTGCACCTCTGCACCTGCCTTACCTTGACTGCTTTGCCCCCAGGCCCGCCGTATGCAACCACAGTCCCCGAGCAAGCTTTGGCGCGGGCAGGAGAAATCGTAGAACTGCACTGCCTGGCCCACGGGACTCCCCCGCTCACCTTCCAGTGGAGCCGTGTGGGCAGCAGCCTCCCCAGGAGGGCTACCACCAGGAACGAGCTGCTGCGCTTTGAGCCCGTGGGCCCTGAAGACTCAGGCCGCTACCTCTGCCAGGTCACCAACAGGGTGGGCTCCACAGAGGCCTTTGCTCAGCTAACTGTCCAAGGTGAGTGCCCCGGCCCCAGGGTGCTGAAAGGAATCGGGCTCTCTGCAGACCCTTACTGAGCCCGCATGCATTCGAGCAACCGCAGGCACGGTTGTGTGTCGTTGCCATCGGGGGTTCCACCTCCCAGCAACCCCATGGACAACAGAAAGAAACACTGCCCGGTCCCGTGCCGTCTGTTGTCACGGTCACGGGTGAATCCGTCTCTTTGAGGGGCTGCTGCTTTTTCACTGACCCTCGACATTTCTCTGTTTTTAATCATTTTATTGGGGGCTCTTGCAAATTTTATGACAATCCATCATTCAATTGTATTAAGCGCACTTGTACATATGTTGCCGTCAAGATTTCCAAAACATTTTCTTTCTACTTGACCCCTAGTAGCAGCTCCTTTGTTTTCCCCTCCCACCCTCATGAATCTTTGATCAATTATATATGATTGTTGTTATTTCATGTCTCTTGTCAACTGTCTGTTGTCTCCCTTCACCCACGTTTCTGTTATTCGTACCCCTGGGGGGTGGGCTATATAGCCAACCTTGTGATGGGTCCCCCCTTTCTCCCCCACTCCCATCATCCCCCGATCCTCCTGATATCGATACTCCCACTGCTGTTCCCGAGGCTTTTATCTGTCCTGAATAACAGGTCTCGAGAGCTCTTGGCAGTACCAATGTGTGCACTCTGGTCTAGCTGGGTTTGGAAGGTAGACCTGTGGCCCTCTACAGTTCTAAGCCTACCCCAGGGACTGGTCCCTCACATCCGTGTCCAAAACGCGTGAATCAAGTCTCACCATTCTCACTTCTGAGAAGCATTCTGGCCATAATTCTTGCAAGAGAAATGTGTTCCGTATTCCTGGTCAGCACCGTAGTTCAAAGCCATCCGCTCTTCCTTCAACGTCCCGCTTTCACGAGGGTCTGGGCAATGGAACCCACTGGTTTGGAACAGGCGCACCTTAGTTCTCGCAGCGGCGTCCGCACGCTTGAATACGTGAAGTAAGTCTTCTGCAGCAGATTTGCCCAGTGCGTACATCGGTTGGCGTCTTAACTGCTGCTTCCACGGCCGCTGTATGGGTCCCAGTAAAATGCCATCGGTACACGACAGCTTCCGTCTTTTCTCTGTTCATCGACTCGGTGCTCCGGGTCCGGGTTGAGGATTCTAGTTCTCTTTACGTTGAGGTGTGCGTCCTGGTGATCTTTACAGTGAGTGCTTCAAGTCTACTCTGCTTCAGCAAGCAAGGTTGGATCGTCTGCCTATCAAAGGCTGTGAATGAGTGTTTCTGCACCCTGATGCTGCGTTCCCACGTCGTGCTGCTCAGATTGCAGTGAGAGGACACAGCCCTGATGCCCACCTGACGTTAATCCACGCAGTCTCCCCATGATCTGTTCAAGCGAGTGCCTCTTGATCTTTGTACAGATTCTGCGATTTAATGCCCGGGAATTCCGTTCTTCACAATGTCATCCATAGGTTTGCTATGTTCCGCTTGGTCAAGTGCCTTTGTGTAGTCAGTAGAATACAGCTAAGCATCTTTTGAGTATTCTGCCATCTGACATCGGCAGCGATACCCTTGTTCCACGTATTTTTCTGAATCTTGTTTGGGTTTCTGGAATGTTCCGTGTTTCTGTGCTGCTGTAACCGTTTTAAAATTATCTTCAGAAAAATTCTACTTGTGTGTGATTTTAATGCTATTTTTCCAATAAGTTCAACATTCTGTGGGATCCTCTTTCTTTGGAATGGGTACAAATATGGATCTCTTCCGATCGATTGGCCAGATAGCTGCCTTTCACATTTCTTTACATAGGTGAGTGAGCCTTTTTAGTGTTGAATCCACTTGTTGAGACATCTCAGCTGGTATCTCGTTAGTACCTGCGGCCTCGTTTTCCACCAAGGTTTTCAATGTTGCTTTGCCTTACTTCTTCAACATCATCAGTTCTTGATCATCTGCTGCCTCCTAAAATAAATACCTGTCTACCAATTCTTTGTGGTTGAGTGGCTTTGGATAGCCCACCTTATGTGGATGCTTCTGACAGACCATCGTTCAATAGTTTGTCCACAGAATCCTTCAATAGTACAACTCGAGGCTTGAATTTTTTTTCTCCAATTCTTTTAGTTTGAGCACGTTCTTGCCTCTTGGTTCTTGCCTCCAGACCTTTGGAGTCATTTCATCACCATGCTTTACCTTGTCTCCCCAGGGGCCCTTTGAAATCGTCCGTTCAGCTCTTCTGTGTCTTCATTTCTCCCTTCCACTTCAGCTACTCCATGTTCAAGACCAAGTCTTGCCTGTAGACATGTAGATATTGCCCTGTCACTGACAGCCCTGTAGGTCGGGGCACGTTCGTTTTGACGGCTCGTGGATGCTGTGTCCCTCTCATTCGGTGTTCCTGTCTTTGGAGACCGGGCGGTGGTCTGATGCAGAAGAGCTACTAGCCAGACTGTTTCAGCTCGCCGGTGTCAGCATATCTGTCTCTCGGCATTCTGCTTCATTTTCGAAGAATTCCGATTTCCTTAGACTTACACTTTGTACATTGAACGTTCCAACGATCAAGAGATGTTTGCAGCTGTTTCTTCTCATCTTGAGTCCTGCTACATGAGCAGACGAAGATCCCGGAAGCTTCCCCTCCATCCACATCACTGAGGTCAACTCTACTCTGAGGAGCAGCTCGTCCAGGTAGTTCTTGGCGTCTCCCAGCGCTCTGTCCGACAGCAGCATTCCACTGCTGTTCTTAGACCCCCACTGGCCAGGGCTTTCAGAGCTTGGCTGCCAAGTCCTTCATTGGAGACTCTCATCATCTGGAAACTCCACGGTAACCTGTCCACCTGGGGTCACCCTCTTGGTATATAAAACACCGACGACATCGTTTCTGACATTACAGCCACACACAAGCCATTACCGTATGACAAAGTGACGTGACAAGCGTTACCCACCTGGAACGTAGCATTGAGTTCCACCCCAAACACTGCTCTCAGCCCCTCCGGCTTGCTCTGCGGTAGCCCTGCTTCCAGCACTGCCAGACACTGCCGAATTTACAGATAGGATGCTCGGGAGGGAGGGCCTGGACCAGTCATCTCAGCAGCTTGGGCTCGTTCACCACAGAGTCCAGGACAGGCTGGGTCGGTGCTTGATGGTGATAACGATGGAAGTGCCAGAGCAGTGCCCACCCTCGACATGCCCAAGGCTTCAGTGGCTCACCAAAGGACCCAGCATTTCTGTGGCATTCCGTGTCAGTGCCACAAAGCCAAACAAGGGCAGTCAGGCCCAAGGTTTAAGCAACAGGAATTCATAGAACCCAGTGCTGAAGAGCCTGGGCCCTGGAGGCCACCAGACCCAGGTTCAAAGCACATCTTGATCACTGTGTGACCTTGGTCAAATCACTGAACCTCTTTGTGCCTCAGTTTTTTCATCTGTAAAGTGGTGAGAACAGCACGTGCCATGTGGGCCAAGTTAAGACGAAGTCCGCCTGCCAGTCCCATGGCACGTTGTAGGCACTTAGTTACCGGTGACCATGTGGGTTTGCACCCACCTTCCAATGTCGTCTGTGGCACATTTGGGACCACGCCACTGGAGCTGGAGGAGTCTTTGTTGTCCTTTCTGAAAGTGACCGAAGCTTTCCAAGACTGCCCCCTCCCTCCCCCGCCCCCATTCTACCTTGGGATGCTCACCTTTCCCAAAGACTGGGGGCTTGTGGAAGCCCAGGGTCCAGCCCTCCCACGCCCACCCAGGCTCTAAGACACGCTTATTGAATGAATAACCAGTCAAGGGGGCGAAGGAGTGACTCAGCCAATGAAAGGCCATTCCTCCCGGTCAGAGAAACCCACCAGGAGAACATCCGCTGACTGTTGGGGCTGGAGGTATTCCTGAGCATCCAGGTGTACCAGGGACCAGCTATGCACACACATACACACAGCACCTTGTCTCTGTCCCTGCAGGGTCTGCACCTGGCAGCGTTCGCCCCGACACCCCCGGGTCCTCGCCCACGGTGCAGGTGACGCCTCAGCTGGAGACCAAGAGCATTGGAGCCAGCGTGGAGTTCCACTGTGCCGTGCCCAGTGACCGGGGCACCCAGCTCCGCTGGTTCAAGGAAGGGGGTCAGCTGCCACCTGGCCACAGCGTGCAGGATGGGGTGCTACGGTGAGCACCCGAGCCCAGGGCACACAGAGTTACTATACCTGACTCACAGGGCTCAGCCTGAAATGCCTTGGGCAAGTCACTCTACTGCTCTAACCGCGGTGATCTCCACTGGACAGGGGGTTCTCTGAGACGGAGAGGAAATGAGCAGAAGCACTTAGTAGAGTAAACACGGTAAACAGTGGCCCATGTTCATGTTCTCACTACAGGAAAAAGAGAAAACTCCAGGCTCCTAGATGAGGGTCCTTCAGAAAGCATCACTTCAAGGGCTCCAGTCACACATGCATGGCTTCGTTCCAAATGAAACCGTGTAGACATGACTGCCATCAGGGCTACCACAGACTAGTTCTCTCCAAAATACACTTGTCTTAGTCCTCCGGCTCACTGACCCACTGCCTCCAGGTCGATGTGGACTCCCAGCCACCCTCCAGAGCAGGGTGGAACCACCCCTGGGAGTTCCCAACTGTAATTCTTTACAGGAGAAGAAAGCATCTTTCTCCCAAGGAGCAGCTGATGGTTTGGACCTATAGGTTAGCAGCCCAACACATAACCAGGGCACCAACAGGCTCCTAGTTGGTCTTGTTAGGGTGCCTTCCAAAAGGAGGGTCCCTCAAACTAGTGGCTTCCGTGGCCATCTGCTGGGCCAGGTAAGTTCCAGGCAGAGGGGCCGGCTCAGAACAGTAAAGAGTCTTCTTGAGATTCCCAAGGGGTTGTCTTGATAGATTTTCTCAATGGAGGATCATAGGGGCTTATCAGGAAGACATTTTAAGAAAACGGAGGATGGCGTTGGCGAGAAAAAAAGGCCAAGATATTGACACCAAGGAATTGTCTCCCACCACGGCCGCGGCCGTGCACCTGCTCGTTTGCGAAGGGCAGTGAGGGCTATTCTGGGGGTATTTTGTTGGGAAGCCTTGCCCCACCCCGCCCCCCTGATCTTGCCCCTCCAGACTTCTTTTATCCCCAAACTCCGAGAGCTTTGGCAAGCATGCGATTCAAGTGAGTGCCTCAGGGAGGCCCCCGCGGCTGAGCTGACCCGGGACTTGAAGTGCGCAGAATCCTGGAGGGAGGGCAGAGAGGGGCACGCTACCCTCACCAGGGTACAGACCTCCGTGGAGGCTATGTCGAGAAAGAATAGCTTCGCATTGGGGTATTTTTATTTAATAACGGTTTCTGTGGTTTGGTAGTAAGACCTTTGGGCCGTACCCTCCTATATCAGACGACCGCAGGTGCCAGCCCCTCCACTGGAAACAGCTCTTGGGCAGGGCACCCGCGAGAGCAGGGACCTGTGTGCGGTGGGAGGCTGGCAGAGCAGGAAAACCCAGATATTTGACTCAAACAAGATACACACAAGCGGTTAGGGCGCAGCCTGTCAGAGGCACAGCACGCGCGAGACACGGAGGAGAAACACAGTGGGCACGTGGAAGTGCTGCTCACACCGGTGTCCCTGGGATTACGACCCGACCTTTATGGTTGCTGGGCAGCCAGAAGGTGCATGGCGTGTCAGTCGGTGGCAGCTTTGAGCTCCCTGGGGATTAAAAAGCCGTCTTACCCGTGGTTGTGATTCCCTGGCCCCCTGATGATGTTTCTCTTTACAGAATCCAGAACTTGGACCAGAGCTGCCAAGGGACGTATGTGTGCCAGGCCCATGGACCATGGGGACAGGCCCAAGCCAGAGCCCGACTGGTTGTCCAAGGTGGGAGCATGGTGTGGAGCCTTTGCTGAGGGCGGAGGAGACAGAGGGCGGGAGGGGGCGGGCACAGTGTGCCCCCGGAAGCCTAAGAATGAAGAGAATGAGCTGAGTGGGTCTGCCTGGTGCCCAGTGTGGAACGGGAGAGGCTGAAGGATTGAGTGGGGTCAGACGATGGATGCCTGAGCAGGGGACCCACCCATGAGCGAACGAGTGCATGTGCCCAGGAGTGAGGGCGAAGAAGGCAGGCAGGCAGGGAGGGGGGCCCAGGGCTCCGGGGCACCTGGTCCAGGCAGTCTGTAGCCTCACCAATCACCCGGCCTCCCTCCTCCCCTAGCCCTGCCCTCGGTGCTCATCAACATCCGGACCTCCGTGCAGACTGTGGTGGTCGGCCACACTGTGGAATTCGAGTGCCTGGCGCTGGGGGACCCCAAGCCCCAGGTGACCTGGAGCAAAGTGGGAGGGCGCCTGCGGCCTGGCGTCGTACAAAGTGGGGGCGTCGTCAGGATCGCCCACGTGGAGCTGGCCGACGCAGGACAGTACCGCTGCACCGCCACCAATGCCGCCGGCACCACCCAGTCCCACGTGCTGCTGCTCGTGCAAGGTGAGGGGGAGGCCGGCGAGGACCTCCGAGGGGCAGGGCAGGGCCTTCTCCGCCAGCCTCTGGAGAGGTGCCCCGCTGGTGTGTTAGGCTGGGTTGACTAGAGAAACAAATTCAGGGACGATCATATATGTGTAAGAGAAAACTTTATATCAAGAAGGTATTATATATCAAGCAAACATCCCAGCTCAGTCCAGATCAAGTCCATAGGTCTGATACTACTCTATAAGCCCCTCTCCAACCTCACACAGCCACTCACAATGATGCAGAATGCAGGGAGATCACAGGCCCGTGGGTGCAAGGTTGTGTGGATCCAATGGCGGTGGAAGCACAGGGCTCTGGCAAGGTCTCAGCGTGGCTCCTCAGTAGGAAGGTGAAAGCTGAGGGCAGGGGGGCAGGTTCCCCAGGGCCCTCCTTCTGAGAAGGCCACGCCCACAAGGAGCGCCATCCGGCTGCAACCTGACTGGTTGAATACCACCCCTACCTTATTACTATCTACAAGTTGGCATGAAGGTGTGTAACTGCCACGGCTGTGAATGGAAGGAGCAGGTTCCATGGGACATCTGGTCAGCAGGGGAGAAAGGGAGTTCAGCGAGAAAGAGTTGGGCCTTCACCAAAACTGGGCTGGGGGGTGGGGCATCTAGAAAGAAGAGGGTGTCTCATCCTCCCTTGGATCCTGTGTGGTAGAAGCCGTTTGTTACTGGCTGGTCATCTTGGTGGAAGAAAGGCCTGTTAATCTGATTACATTCTAGAAAACCCTGTGGAGCAGTTCCGCTCTGTAACACAAGGGGACCACCTTGGTTCATAACCAGCTCAGCAGCAGCAGGTGTTTTGGGTCCTCACCCACAGGGAGTGCCCGCCCTGGTGGGCGAGGCCCATGTGCAGCCCAGTCTGAGGGCAGAGACGTAGTGTAAACACGAACAGATGTCAAGTGGCGTCTGAAATAAGCACAAGGGATACTAGACCAAGCAATAGGTCTATGTTGTCCTTAACGCTATTCCTTTTTGCCTCCAGTCCTATAATTGACCAGCTACTCACCCATACTGCTCCTTGGTCCCCAAAAGGCCAAATAATGGTGCCCAGACATGGGCCCTCCTGCCCCAAAACCAAGTGGAGGTGTTGAGGCAGTCCTGCCTGGTCTCTGGAATTGCATGAACCTGTCTCTAAACTCTAGCTCTGCCTGCTCCTATCTGTACAACCCTACAAGCTGCAATGTTCTCATCTGTAAAATGGGCTGAGGTGCCTCCTCTAGGAGATGAACAAGTCCAGACACACATGTGGTGGCTGCTGTCACACTGACACACACGGACACCGTCACGCTGACACACATGTGGACACCGTCACGCTGACACACACGGACACCGTCACGCTGACACACGTGCACACCGTCACACTGACACACATGTGGAAACTGTCATGCTGATACACACGGACACCATCATGCTGACACACACGGACTCCATCACGCTGACACACATGTGGACACCATCACGCTGACACATGTGGACACGGTCACGCTGACACACACAGACACCATCACGCCGACACACACGGACACCGTCACGCTGACACACATGTGGACACCGTCACACTGACACACATGTGGACACCGTCACACGGACACACACGGACACCGTCACGCTGACACACATGTGGACACCATCACGCTGACACACGTGGACACGGTCACGCTGACACACATATGGACACCGTCACGCTGACACACATATGGACACCGTCACACTGACACACACGGACACGGTCACGCTGACACACATGTGGACACGGTCATGTTGACATACATGTGGACACGGTCATGCTGACACACATGGACACCGTCACGCTGACACACATGTGGACACCGTCACACTGACACACGTGGACACGGTCACGCTGACACACACGGACACCGTCACGCTGACACACATGTGGACACAGTCACGCTGACACACATGGACACCGTCACGCTGACACATGTGGACACTGTCACGCTGACACACATGTGTCCATCATCACACTGTCATATACATGGTAGCCACCGTCATGCTGGCACGCACGTGGCTGCCGTCACACTGACACACACGACCGTCATGCTCACCCATGTGGTAGCCCTTGTCACACTAACACAGGTGTCTCCTTTCCCCAGCCTTGCCTCAGATCTCAACGCCCCCAGAGGTCCGGGTGCCCGCCGGCTCTGCAGCCGTCTTCCCCTGCATGGCCTCTGGGTACCCCACTCCTGACATCACCTGGTCCAAGGTAAGTGCTGGGCAGGGGGCCAGAGACATATGTGAGGGACAGGCCACTGTCCTAAACCACCTCAGTGCCCCCAGGACTTGACCCACACTGAACGGAGCCCAGAAGGTGGCCCATAGGCAGAGGGAGAGACTGACCATAAGGACGTGTGGGCCAAGGCCAAGGGCTGTGTGTTTGCAGCTGGATGGAAACCTGCCGCCTGACAGCCGGCTGGAGAACAACATGCTGATGTTGCCCTCGGTCCGTCCCCAGGATGCAGGCACCTATGTCTGCACGGCCACCAACCGCCAGGGCAAGGTCAAAGCCTTTGCCCATCTGCAGGTGCCAGGTAAGACCCGCCTCTGGGGCTGGGCTGCACCCTCACTCCAGATGGGTATCCCCTCTAACACCACTCTCTGCCGGCAGAGCGGGTGGTACCCTACTTCACGCAGACCCCCCACTCCTTCCTGCCACTGCCCACCATCAAGGATGCCTATAAGAAGTTTGAGATCAAGATCACCTTCCGGCCCGACTCAGCCGATGGTGAGAGGCAAAGAAGCTGATCTGGGGGTCTGGGCTCAGGGAGAGTCTCTTGGGGGAGCCTGCCAATGCAGCCCAAGCCCTGGCAGCCTCAAGTCCTGCCCAGGAGCCCCCAGGTCTGCCTCCTAGTCAAGAGCCTCTGTGCCTGCCCCCTCTGTCCACCCTGCACCCCATGGTGTCTTGTGGACCTCCATGGTCTCCTCTCCCTCTGCCATCGGACAGCCATGCCCAGCCTCGTGTCCACTCTGCCTGCTGCCACCTGCTCCTCCCCAGGGTGCCTCCCTCTCTCACCCTCTCCTCTCTCTCTCTGTGTCTCCTCTCATCTCTCGGGCTCTTCCTTTCACTGTCCAGGCCTCCTTCTCTACTCAGGTGAGTCGGCCTCCCTCCCCAGCTCCAGGTAGCCCTGGCAGTGTGAATGAAACCAGCCCACTGCTTTCTGGGGGCTCCCAGCAAGGCTTCCCTATTTAGATCACCACCCAGAGGCTTTGAGATGGCTCTGGCTGTGTGAGGTATGCCCAGGGCGCTGGCAGGTGGTTAGCGTGAAAGGCTCAGGGAGGAGCAGGGGTCATTTCTGGGGCCTAGGTATATGGGATCCCTGACCCCACTGTGCCCACCCAGGGATGCTGCTGTACAATGGGCAGAAGCAGACCCCGGGGAGCCCCACCAACCTGGCCCACAGGCACCCCGACTTCATCTCCTTTGGCCTCGTGGGCGGGAGGCCTGAGTTCCGGTGAGACCCTCACCTTCTTGTTCACAGGGACAGACAGAGGGGCTGGGGGACAGGCAGTGAGGGAGATGGCACTTGGGGACAGGAGAATAAGGACAGAGGGGCTGGGAGACAGGCCAGCTGGTCTGGCATCAGGCTCTGAGTGCATGCTATTTGCTGACCACTACTGTGTGGCAGATACGTAGACCAAGTCCATCCAGGCGCTGATCCTGTAGGCGTGCGTACACTCACAGCACGTGGCCAGGCAGCTCCCGGAGAGGCGTGCTTGAGGAGCAGGGAGGTTAGGCGGTGGTTGGGGTCCCATGGAGCCTGTGGAGGAGCCGATGGGGGTGGCGGGGCATGGGCTGTTCTGGAACAGCACTTCGGGAAAGGAAGTGGGGAGAGATGAGCCAGGGAGTCAGGGGTGGGAGGACAAGGAGGGACAGGGACGAGAGATAGTGGCATCCCTCCCTGGTGCCCTTTCCTGGTGCCCCTCTGCCCAGACTGGCCACCCCCAGCCCTTCTTATGAACTCCCTCTCCAACCCGTGAGGCAGGTTTGACGCAGGCTCTGGCATGGCCACCATCCGTCACCCAACACCCCTGGCCCTGGGCCAGTTCCACACTGTGACCCTGCTGCGCAGCCTCACCCTGGGGTCCCTGGTGGTGGGCAACCTGGCGCCGGTCAATGGGACCTCTCAGGTGAGAACTAGTTCCGGCCTCCTGTGCCCAGCCCCACACTGCCACGCCTCTGCCTGCCCTTCCAAACTCCCACCACCACCACCCCCAGGGCAAGTTCCAGGGCCTGGACCTGAATGAAGAGCTCTACCTGGGCGGCTACCCCGACTACGGTGCCATCCCCAAGGTGGGGCTGAGCAGCGGATTCATAGGTGAGCACTCTCCCACTCCCGGCCGGGCCCGAATGCACCTGGCTGACTGAGCCCTCAGTCACCCGGGGGCACCACAGGGTTCTCCCTAGAACCCCTTGCCCATCTGCCCACCTGCCTATCCGCAGGCTGCGTCCGGGATCTGCGCATCCAGGGCGAGGAGCTGGTCTTCCATGACCTCAACCTCACGGCCCACGGCATCGCCCACTGCCCCACCTGCCGGGACCGGCCCTGCCAGGTAACCCTGCCCACCCACCCCGTCCAGTGACGCAAGCCCCTCATACCCCCGCCTTCAACTGTGGCAGACCCATGGGTGGGGTGTGGACGGGGAGGTTGGAGTGTTCTTGGCCTGACTTCCGGGGACCGCTTTGCAGAATGGGGGCCAGTGCCAGGACTCGGCCAGCAGTAGCTATGTGTGCCTGTGCGTGCCCGGCTTCACCGGGAGTCGCTGTGAGCACTCGCAGGCCCTGCACTGCCACCCAGGTAGGTCCACCCTGACCCCCTGGAACCCACCGCTGCCGCCCAGCAACGTGACCGTGGGGCACCTCTCCAATCGCGTGTTACAGCCCCGAGACTGTCCCCTCCACCACGGTTACTGGACTGCTTCCTCTCCCCCTCTATTGGTTGCCGCTTCGGCACTCCCTATGCTCCCAGTCACCGCTCCTGGGTGTCTCCGCCCCCGTCTCCTTCCCAGCTTCCCCTTTCCGGCTACTTAGGTCCCTGAGATACTCAGTGTTGTTCAGGTGCAGCCTTCCCTCACATCCCCGCCCCCAGCACCCCAACCTGCCGTTAGCCCTGCCCGCCCTCCTCTCACCCACCCTTGCCCTCCGAGCCCCTGGCGGTGCAAACAGGTATCTGCCTGACCCCTGGCTAAAAGGCAGGCCATTGGAAACCACCCAGAGGCACCTTGGAGAAAAGGTCTGGGGTTTGCTCCCCAAGGGTCCCCGCCTGGACAGCCCTGTGGAGCCACTCTGCTCTGCTCTGCACACGGGGTCTCCGTGAATGAAGTTGACAGCAATTGCCTTCCCCCATCCTATCCCCCCAACACACCTCCTGCTGCACCCTCCTGGGCGGGCCTAGCTCTAATCAAGCACAGGCCCCGGGAGGGGATGCGGGGAAGGTAGGGCACCAAGGAGAGCCCCACCCTCTCTAGAGTCACCTCAGTGTCCTCATTGCTCCTTATACCCTCCAGAGGCCTGTGGGCCTGATGCCACCTGTGTGAACCGGCCCGACGGCCGAGGCTACACCTGCCGCTGTCACCTGGGCCGTTCAGGGTTGAAGTGTGAGGAAGGTGAGTGGAGCAGGCACCCCAATATGGTGGGGACACTGGGCAGGGCCTCTGAGGGTACGGGGGCGTGTTGTTGTGAGTCTTCGAGTTCATCCCGACTCCGAGCGAGCCTGTGGGGCAGAGTGGCACTGCCCCTGTGGGTTTCCCAGGCTATACCCAGCACACAGGTCGCCAGGCCTGTTTTCCTGCAGAGGGGCTGTGGGTTTGCACGGCTGGCTTTTCCAGTAGCAGCAGCCAGGAGACCCTAAAGTCACTGGCCGAGTGTCTGCCCAGCCTCGCTTATCACCTCAGGGCCCCCAGAGGGGACTCTCATCTTGTGGGAGATCTTCCCAGGCTGCTCTGCAAGACCAGGGGCAGGGAGCTGGCGCTGCACCCCTGGGCCTGGAAAGGGGCAAGCAGGGGTCCAGGAGGGGTCCTGGCATCCCCGTTGCCCCAGCTGAGCTGTGGCTACTGCAGGTGTGACAGTGACCACCCCGTCCATGTCGGGCACCAGCTCCTACCTGGCACTGCCCGCCCTCACCAACACTCACCACGAGCTCCGTCTGGACGTTGAGTTCAAGCCGCTGTCGCCCGACGGCCTCCTGCTCTTCAGCGGGGGCAAGCACGGGCCCGTGGAGGACTTTGTGTCGCTGGCCATGGCCGGCGGGCACCTCGAGTTCCGCTATGAGCTGGGCTCAGGTAAGCCCCCACAGCCAACAGCGACAAGTGTGTGGATGCCAACTTCACCGTCCCCGCTGTCCCCCGTGGTCCAGGGTGGGGCCCCATACTCCATCCCACCCCATTTCTCCTGGGTGTCTGTGACTTCAGGCAAGTCCTCTGTGCGCCTCAGTTTCCTCACTTGAAGACCAGGCCCCGGGGCCCCTGCCTGGCGTGGGATGGGGTGTGTCCCCCTGTGTGCCCAGCTCTGCCTGGTGTCCTCCCTAGGGCTGGCTGTCCTCCGGAGTGCCGAGCCACTGGCCCTGGGCCGCTGGCACCACGTAGCCGCCGAGCGCCTTAACAAGGACGGCAGCCTGCGGGTGAACGGAGGCCGGCCGGTGCTGCGCTCCTCCCCCGGCAAGAGCCAGGGCCTCAACCTGCACACCCTCCTCTACCTCGGCGGCGTGGAGCCGTCTGTGCCGCTGCCCCCAGACACCAACATCAGCACCCCCTTCCGCGGCTGCGTGGGTGAGGTGAGGACACCTTGAGGAGGGTGGGGATGCCAGCCAGCGGCCCTCTCCCATGGGTGACGCAAGATCTGGGGCCAGGCTTTCCACCTCTCGGAGCCTCTGCGTTCTGGTCGGTCAAATGGGCACCATAGTTTGCACTGTGGCCTGTCTGCAGGGTGCATGCTCCTGGTACACAGTAGGCACCCACCTCCCTAAGGAGGCCTGCTGTCATATGGCTTATGTGTTGGCGGCTAACCTCAGAGGTCAGCAGTTCAAACCCACCAGCAGCTCCTTGGGTGAAAGATGAGGCTCTCTGCTCCTGGGAAGAATTACAGCCTCGGAAACCCCCAGGGACAGTTCTACCCTGCCCTGTGAGGTCGCTCTGAGTGGGATTTGACTTGATGGCAGAGAAGTTTTGGACCCAGCCCACAGCATGCGTGCTGCCACCACAGCTCCAACTTGGGCCTCCAGCTACCTTCTGCTCCACCCTCCCTGGGCACAGCCCATGCCTCTCTGGCCCCTGCCCCTATACGTCGCCCAATGTACCTGTGCCCGCAGGTGTCAGTGAATGGAAAGCGTCTGGACCTCACCTACAGCTTCCTGGGCAGCCAGGGCATCGGGCAGTGCTACGACAGCTCCCCCTGTGAGCGCCAGCCGTGCCGGAATGGCGCCACCTGCATGCCCGCTGGCGAGTACGAATTCCAATGCCTGTGTCGAGACGGCTTCAAAGGTGGGTGAGCCTGGGCCCAGTGGGCACAGAGCAGGGGTGGCCTGAAAGAACCCCGGCCCAAGCTCGCACTCCTCTGCCCTCTCCCTTAGGAGACCTCTGTGAACGCGAGGAGAACCCCTGCCAGCTCAGAGAGCCCTGTCTGCACGGGGGCACCTGCCAGGGCACCCACTGCCTCTGCGCCCCTGGCTATTCTGGCCCACGCTGCCAACACGGTAAAGCAGTTGTCACTCCTGTCCACCTCCATTTTGGGCTCTGGGGCTGGGCACAGGGCCCTTGTGTGTCTGCGTCTCCCAGCTAGACTCTGCTCTTCCCCAGGTGCCGACTTTGGCAGAGCGGAATCCAGCTGGCACATCGAAGGCAGTGGAGGCAACGGTACGTCCTCCCTGGGGGCAGCTAGGGATGCTGAGCGGGCTTGTGTCCTCCTCTGCCCATGACCCACACCCGCATGTCCGTCCCAAACTAGGATGGCTACTGGTAGGCTCACAGGCACACATGGGCAGGATCCAGAAGGACACGGCCATGCAGAGTGGAGCCCTGCCCAGACTCACTGGCTAAGTCAACTTGGACAGTCCTTGAGCCACCCTGACCTCAGCTTCATCTTCTCTGCTCATGCATTCAGTCAACAAACACCTGTTGTGAGCCCAGCCTTGCCTTGAGACCAGGGAGTTGAAGATGAGTAAGGCAGTCTCTTTACGCTTAAAGAAAAGCCTTGGTGACACACTGGGTTAAGTGTTGAGCTGCTAACTGCAAGGTTGGTGGTTTGAACCCGCCAGCTGCTCAGTAAGAGAAAAATGAGGCTTATATGCTCTCATCAAAATTAGCCAAATTAAAAAAAAAAAAAAAAAACCGAAGGAGCAGTTCTACCCTGTCCGGTAAGGTCACTATGATGCTGTGAGTCGGAATCAACTCAGGAGCGGTAAGTTTTGTTTTGTGCAGGGATTCCACAATCCGCTTTAAGGTGAAGGTAGCAGTAAAAGTTGAGTGCTTGTGGAAGAGTTATTAAGTCCCAGGAGCTGTGCAAACTGTTGCAGGCACATAGCCTATTTATTGCTCATGGAGTAGGACAACCATGGGATGCTGGCTACACACCCGAGCAGTGGAGCCAGCCTGCCTGGCCAAACCCTCACTGTGCCACTTTACCTGCTTGGTGACTTTGGGCAAGCTGTGTAATGTCTCTGTTCCGGAGTTCCCTCGTGCACAATGTAGAGACATGTCACAGCCCCTCATGAGGCTTGAAGACGTAGGTTCCTAAACTTATTTGTTCTACGGCCCCCTTTAAAATCCCTCAACACCCCCTAGCAATGACAAACGTTTGTGTTAGAGCCCATAATCCAAGATGGAGTGTAGGGGTCTGCTTTTGCACACACACATCCCGATTGCTCCCTCCAGCAGCACCCCTAGGGGGCGGGAGAGTATCACCCACTTTGAGAAGTACCGCACTGAATGGCTTTTTTTTGCAAGGGTCAAACTCCTGTGTTTACCACAGCGGGAGCAGTGTCTGGGACGGAGTGGGTACCGAACACCTGCCTGTCTAATTCGTGAGCTGAGGGCTCAGCTAAAGGCCTGCTGTTTGAAACCAGATGACAGTCTCCCAGCACAGTGTCAGCCACATCCTGGGTGCCTGATTGTGTAAGCAGTTCTTCTCATCTTTGGGTGGAAGGGGGCCTAGTGTCCCTGCCCTTACAGCTGCCAGACCCACATTAACCTGGAGAATGGGCAGTGAGCTCACAGGACCAGAGGGGTGGCTTCAACACTTGGCCTGGACAACAGAGCCTAACGGCCCACGTGCTGCTCCAGGGCCACCCTGAGCCTGCCTTCCCAGCCTTCCCAGTGGGGGCACACAAGGATGCCTAACCAATTTGGGGGTGCCACACACCCAGGTGACCCCCGGTTGGCCCAGGACTAGGGAGGGTCTGAGACTGTGAGGCGCTCTGTGCTAATCCCACCCTCCACGGACCTCATGACTGTGTGGAATAAGGCACATGGGGTTTCAAGGGCAACATGGCTCACAGTCTACTTAGAATTGCTGGCTTATAACACAAGCTCTTCTTGATAGACACATGAAACAACAAGAGCTAGCACTGGTTCTTGGAGCTACCGCAGTTTTGAAACCTTGATGGGCACAGGCAGTAATTAGAAAGCTCTAGGATGCACTCGTGTGTGTGTGTGTGTGTGTGTGTGTGTGTGTGTGTGTGTGTGTGTGGCAGAGCCTTGGGTCCTGTGGCTGTGACCGTGGCTTGGTGCCTACGTCCCTAATGGAAGGGATGCTAACTCTCCGGTGGAGTGACTGCAGTC